ACGGAGGGAACACGCATACTATAGGCAAACGGACGTACACATAAAACATAAAAATAGGGTACGTGCACAACCACGCACACAACTTACGCACACCTACATACGTGGAACGATACATGCACGCACGCAATACATAACAATTATACCAACCGTTCCCACCATCGACACCATTGCATTGGGTCCGCGGAGTCTGCCGCAAACGTACACACTGCGTGGGGATGATGATCGCACCGTCTACCTCAGCCGTTTGTCTCGACAGGGGTGCACCTTTCTGCTTTTTCACCGAACGGCAGCCGTTCCGATGGAGGGTGGCGGTGCGATCGAGATGGTCGACCTCTGGTCCGTGAAGGGCCCTGCTGCGCCAGAACGGAAGGGTCGGAAGAAAAAACGTCGGTGTGAAGATGATGGGGCATCCGCTGTACCACGCCCGAGGTATCAGACAGTTGTGACTGGCAATGCGCTCTTCGATCAAGTGAGTGTCTTCGATCCGAGCTCAGATGCGATCGTTGAACAGAACACCAGGGCATTGGCAGAAGCGATTGCTCGGACCCCGAAGCAGAAGAGGCGCGCGTTTCAGCCTGGCGAGTGGATTCCAAAATTTAGCGAGCGCAAGAAGCTGCGCAACCCCGTCGCGTCGCTCCCGTCGGGCTCAGACTCGAGCAGAGGGGCGGCACCGTCGCAGAGCCAGTCCAGTGCAGCGCAGTCTCAGTTGCTTCGTTCTAGGCAATTTAAGGTTCCCAGCCAGGGAATTCGACCTACGGGGCGCTTGCCTGCTGCAAGCGGTGACATTGCTTCAGGTGCTGGATCGTCGATCATCACACCACTGCCACCATCGCATCACTGTCGGGGCAAGTGCCAAGCACATGACACCAACCATAGCATTATCAACCAGCTAAGCCTTCCAGACAGCCAAGCTAAACTTAAAGCCTGGGGGGGCGTCGCTTAATATTCGCCTTCGGCCCGCACTCCCCCCCGATTTCGTGTCTGCGCCCTTTGGTGAGCCCGAAGTTCCAAACTGTAACCCCTAAATCGATCCCATCTCTACCAGGACCTCTCGTGATCTGCCTACCCACCACTAAGTCTTACTGTAGCCTAACAGCAAGATATATAAGGATAGGACAATCGAGGAGGCAGGAATGGGACACACTCACTATAAACATTGAGACAAAAAGGAACACAATAGTCTGACACAAAACATCCCATCATCTCAAATACCAGGAAACATAACAGGTGTGGTGAAATTCGTCACGTGACCCTCCCCAAAACATCCGATCGACATGATTGAGCTGCGAGGGGCGAGGGTGAACGAGGATGTAGTGTGGATGAGGTGCAATGGGGGAATGCGATAGCAACTTGGGGGGAGAGACGAGGAGAAACGGAGGGGGTTCATGGAGGAGGGAGTGGGCGACGCACGGAATATTGTGCAAATCAGGAGGGGCGGTGGAGGGAGGGAAGAGGAGGTGTGAGGGACGACGGTGGGCAAAACGACGTAGGAGCGACGGACGACGATAAGCAGAGGATGCGGATGGGGAGGGTTGCACGGATGAGGGTGGCGAGGATTTTTGTTGAGCTTGTTAACTGGCAGTCGTCCCACGCGCCTGCCAAGCCCGTTGCCCAGAACAAGCCCCAAGGGAGGATATAGGCGGGGGGTCACGCTTGTCCGTTCGGTCTGTCACAGTTGTATCCAACCCCTAAGGGCGCGAGCTTGCTTAGCAACGTGGGAAAAGATATAGCTATATACGACGCGCGTGTGGAGGCACGTGTGAGCGCGTGCCAGGGACTAGGCGATGATATCACTGCGCGCCTTCTTGTTTGTGTTGGTGGACCGACGCTGCTGGCCAATCGACATTGGTACATTGCAGCATGCATGCCTTGACCTTGCACACACTGGTCTGTCATCGTTACGCAGCTATGACAAAATCCGAGGATACGTGATGACATTCCTCTTGGTACCGCAGACATTGTATGAACCATTCCACACCACCACGGGCCAGGATGAACCATTCCCAATACCCCAAATAGGCGATAATCCTGGAGTTGCCCCAACCCCCTGCCTAACCAAAGAGAACACTGGCGAACAGAAGAGTCAGACGTCTCTTGAATGCCTCTCGAGGTCCTCTTGAATGTCGCTTGGAAGTTTTTTGGATGCCTTTCGGGGCGTCTCGGGGGGGGTGTGGCATCCTGGCGGGCCCAGGGCCGTCTTTGAGCGGCTCCGGTGCCTCGGGGGTCCTTGGGCCTCTTGAGGCCTCTTGGGGATCTCTTGGGAGCCTCTTGGGGACCCTGGGCGCCTCATGTGCCCTGTGGGCGCCTCTTGGGGTCCTCTTTGGGCGCTGTTGAGAGCTTTTGGGGCGCTCTTGGAGCTATCTGGGAGACCCTCCTCCCCTCGGGAATCCAAGCCATTTCCTCTTTGGGCGCTCTTGTGGCGCTCTTGGGGCGCTCTTGGGCGCTCTTGGGGCCGTCTTGGGGGCCTCTTGGGCCCCTCTTGGAGCCCTCCTGGGCCATCTTGGAGCCATCCTGAGGCCTCGGACGGCCATCGGAAGCGAAAAGGCGAGAAAGCAAAAACATGAATTTCTTCAGGCTTTGAACTAATTTTGGCCTTCTGGCGGTCTTCTGGGGAGGCCCCGTGGCCACCTGGAGCCGTCTTGGAGCGTTCTTGGGGCCTCTTGGAACATCCTGGGAGCTATCTTAAAGCATCGTGGGCTATCTTGAGCCATCTTGGATGTACTCTTGGGCTCTCCGAGGCGCTCCTGGAGCCGTCTTGGGCCATCTTGGACGCTCCAACCTCTCGCGGACCCCCCCGTCCAAGTCCAGGCGAGGGGGTAAGGAGGAGGGATCAAGCTACCCACCCGCCCGCAAGCCGTCTAGCTCATGTTCAGCGGTCGTCTTTGGATGGGCAGCTACTGGGAACCAAAGCCGACCCCAGGTGCGCGACGCTGGGGCGAGATGCGCCACGCGTGCCAGGGGCGCCACGCCCGCCAGGCACCCACCCGTGGGGCCCGAGCGTGCCAGGCACGCCTGGTGCGCCAGATGCGCCACGTGCTCCGAGTGCGCCAGGTGCGCCGCGCACTCCAGCCGCGCCAGGTGCACCTCGTTCGGGGCACGGGCAGAGTGCGTCAGGTGCGCCTGCGCACGTGACAGCACACATCGGGAAACATGTCGGCCCCCACCATCCTTGTCGAAAACCAATGCTCATCATCGTGTCTGGTGGGCCCGCGCACAGCAGGCAGCGTGATCGCGGGGCGGCCGCGCATGATCCAGATTGCGGAGGCCTTACGGCCAGTGCCGCCGACCTTGTAGGTTAACGACGACAACGGCGGTGGCGGCGACGACGACGACGACGCTGACGTGGGTCAGAGTCCTCATGGATGCTTCTTGGGGTCTCTTCGAAGCGCTCTCGGGGGCCCCTGGGGGACAGTTTAGGGGCCTCTTGGGAGCCTCTTGGGGGCCTCTTGGGCGCCTCTTGGGGGCCTCTCGGGGCTTCTGCGGGCCTCTTGGGGACCTCGTGGGGCCTCTTGGGGGCCTCTTGGGGGCCTCTTGGTTCCTCCTGAGAGCCTCTCGGGGCCGATGGCTCGAAATGTCCGTTCTGGTCACTCGTCTGGGTACCCTCTTAGAGCCGTCTTGGGGGCCTCTTGGGCCGTCTTGGATGCGCCTGAGGCCGTCTTGGGGCCCTCTTGGGCCGTTTTTGCTCCCTCCTGGAGCCCTCTCGGGCCGTCTTGGGGCGATTTGGGGGGCCTCTTGGGCCGTCTTGGAACGTAGGGAAGCGGAAGAGGTGAGAACGCCGAAAAGCTTCAAGAACTAAGGGGAAATCAGTGACTTTTCTTCTTGGGGCCCTCTTGGGAGGGCTCCTGGAGGCCTCTTGGGGCGTCTTGCAGTGCTCTTGAGCTGTCTGGAGGCCGTCAAGGCGTCTTGGATAGATCATTCGGCGATTCGGGGCCCTCTTGGACCGTCTTTGGGGCCCCTTGGGGCGAGGTGCAACTTGTGTTGTTCTTGGTCAGGGATAGCAGCCCTGCGCACACCAGGGAATGTGCTGACACCCCCGCCGTCCCTGTCAAAAACAACACGGCGTTCTCGCGGGCCTCACAAGCACGATTCAAGACTTTGCCCCACAGCGTACCTCGTATTGATTTTGACAGGGATGCTGGGGGGGGGGCTGCATCGGGTTGGCCACGCGCGCTCCAAATGTAGAGGCAGAGTGCGTTTTGTATTGTTTTTTGACACGGATGGTGGGGGTGGGTGGGTGGCACTGATGGGGTTGGCATGGTTACGGGTTGGCCGCTGGCCGGGTGGGGGAGGGGGTGTATATTAACAGGGCACAGTGATAAACCCCTCCCCGAATGGGAAGAAGGGGGTTGGAAGAGGAAGCGCTCTAGACCACCTGTGCTCAGAGGGCTGGTGGGATTCCTGGGACTTCAGCGTCGCGAATCAATGTGACTGTTGCGTCCTGACAGTCTTCATTCGTGTCAGAAAACCATTCCAGGGACTTCAACACCGCGTTCTGACCATCCGAAGTCTTGTCAGAGCGCATTTCCTGGGACTTCGAGCATGGGAATCCTTGAACCTGTTGCGCACTTTCCAAACGAATGTTGGCGGCGCTGGTGCGAGAGCCACATATTCAAAACGAGCCGCCCGTCATCCTTGAAGCTGTGGTAAACTTTCAAGTCGAATATGCGCGGTGCTGAGGCGAGAGAGCCACACTTCGAAGACTGCTCTACCTCCATCCTTGAAGTGGCTGTTAGCTTTTCGGACGAATGTGCGCGGCGCTAAGGCGAGAGCTACATTTTGAAAACGGCCTGCCCTCCCTCCGTGAAACTGTTTCGCGCTCCAATCTTCTAGGATCATGCGGGGCGAGGGAGTCTCGGGCGAAACGCCCGACCCGCCCTACGGACACGTCTTGGGGCACGACATGGAGGAGCTACGTGTGAGGAGAAGGGACGGAGGAGGAGCAGGGCGGAGGAGCGAGGTTGGGAGGAGCAGCGCCGCAGAGCGGCCCCCAGCAGCCCCAGGTACGAGATCCTCGCCCAGACCAGGCAGGCGGCGGAGCAGGCCAAGAAGGACAGGGCGAGGAAGGCCGCGGAGGACGCGAAGAAGGCCGCGGAGGAGGCCACGCTCGCCCTCGTGTTGCTTCTCTTCCTCCTCCTCCTCATACCAATACCCCTTCCCACCCCCCCCTCCACCCCCCCTCCCCCTCCCCCTCCCCTCCCCCTGCCCCCCCCCCTCCCCCCCTTCCCCCTCCTCCTCCTCCTATCCCCCTCCTCCTCCTCCTCATCCTCGTGTTGGCTTACTCTTCCTCCCTGCCCACGAAAGCCTCCGGCCCTCGAAGGTTCGATGGGCAGTGGTCCGTCGTCGTTGTGGGCGCCAGAGGCCGGCCGGGCGGTCGGATCCGTCAGCAAATTATGACGTCGGGGCACGTCCCTCTGCATGAGGGAAGTATTATTCAAAAATAGTCAAAAGCAGTCTCGGGCTTTTGTTTGTTCTAGTTATTGTTTAATTATTATTTTGTTTTTTTTTTTTTTTTTTTTTTTTTTTTTTTTTTTTTTAAAAAAAAATTTATTATTTATTTATTATTAAGTATGGTTTTATTCTTCTTCTTTTCTTTCTGCTTCTCTGACTTTCCTGTCCTTAGATGTACTCTTTCCTTTATTATTATTAATTTTTATGATTATTCTTATTAATATTATTATTATTATTATTAAGATTCTGAATATGATTATGATTATGATTATGGTTATGATGAGTATCATTATTATAATAATAGTAGTAACAATGTTTGATCATGTTGGCGCATTCTTGGACTATTTTTAATACTTCGCCCAAAAGCCGCCTGTATGGGGACGTGCCCGACCTACACATACTGGTTCGGGACGAACGGTTGGCGCTGGGGAAGAGGCCGAGATCTCTGGGGGCCCCACACATAGAATAGGGCGAGGCGCCGGGTCTCTGGGTAGCTTTCTTCGGGTTGACCCAAACATGGGGTTCAGCGACAAGGGGGTGATGCAATATCAACGGCACCGTAACGGGTACTTACTAACGAGTACTTTGCAATTTTGCTGAAAGTTGCCTTTTTAGAGCCTCTTTCTGGCAGTGCAGCGTTGCCCGCATTGGGAAGGGTTGGTTCGCTGGGTCACTGGCCAAAGTACCCGTTAGTGGAGTCCCCGTTTGAGGGGCGCTGACAATAGATTTGGTGCAATCGAGTTGTTGGGGTTGCAAGACATTTGGGGCTTGCAATCCATCTCGGGGCGCAAAGGTCTTGCTGGACTCTCGCGTGCAATCCATTAGGTGCAAGACGATGCAATCCGATTCTCCGGCGCAGCACATTTGCAATACAGTTGCCCCAAATCTATTGCACCACCCCCTTGCGGCTTGACCCCTTTTGGGTCACCCAAATTTCTCTTTTATCTTCTGTAACGGTGTGCTTGTACTTGACAGTGATCGCGGGGCGGCCGCGCATGATCCAGATTGCGAAGGCCTGGCGGCCGGTGCCGCCGACCCTGAAGTGGGACGACGACGATGACGGCGGTGGCGGCTGCGACGACGACGCTGACGTGGGCCAGAGTCCGCAGGGATGCTCCTCGGGATCTCCTCCGGCGGCTCTCGGGGGGCGCCCCGGGGAGGCATTCCGGGGCACCCCGGGCGCCCCTTGGGAGCCCCTATAGGGAGCCCCTATATGGGGGCCCCTTCGGGCTTTCTTGGGGCCGCCTCCGCGCGGACCTCTTGGATCTGGGCCTGGCCCCCCCCCCCGGCGGCGCCTCCAGCGCCTCCCCTGGCGCGCTCCGCGCGCCAGGGAGGGGGGTCCAGCGCAGACCCGAGAGATGCGCGCGGACCTCCTGAAGTACATCATATCAGCGGCGCCCGGGGGCCCGTGGCCCAGGGTCCCGCACTTCTCCCAAACTCCCCCCCCAGCGTAACCGAATTTGCCCCCTGGGCTGCGGGGGCCTTTGTTGGCATCCAGGGGCCCGTTTTCGGAGTTTCCGCTTCCCCGAGGCGTCCACCTATAGGCTTCTGCAGACAGCAAGAAGCCACCAAGACGGCCCAAGAGCGCTTCTTTTTTTTTTTTCTTTTTTTTCTTTTTTCTTTCTTCTTCTTTTTCTATTTGTCTTTTTCTTTCTTTTTTTTTTTTTTTTTCTGTTTTTTTTCCATTCCTATTTTTCTTTTCTTCCTCCTTATTTTCTTTCATCCATTTGTTTTAAATTTCTCCATTTCTATTTTTTTTTTCCCTTTTCTATTCTATTTCTTATTTCCTCCCCCCCTTTTTTTTTTTTCTTTTTTTTTTTTTTTTTTTTTTTTTTTCCCCTCTTTTTTTTTTTTTTTTTTTTTTCTCTTTTTTTTTTTTTTTTTTGTTTTTTTTCTTCCTTCTTTTTTTCTTTTCCTCTCTTTTTTTTTTTTTTTTTTCCTTCAAGCCGCTCAAGATGGCCCCATGATCGGCCCCAGAGACCCCCAAGATGCCCCAAGGTCGCTCCGCGAGGACCTCCAAGAGAGCCCCAAGACGCCAAAATCATTGATTTTCATTGTGTGTGTTCGAATATTTGTTGCTTCTCACGATTTCGAGCGGCCGACACTCCAAGACTGCCCAAGAAGTCTCCAACGTCGCCCCAAGAGGCCCCCAAGAGGCCCCCAAGACAGCCCAAGAGGGCCGCATGATCAGCCCAAGAGGCCCCCAAGACGGCCCAAGAGGGCCTGAAGAGGGCCTGAAGACGGCTCCAAGATGGGCCCAAGAGAGGGAACGCGAACCGACCTTTCGAGTTTCCCGCCCCCAGGGCCCCCCAGGAGGCCTCAAGAGGCCCCCATGTGGCTCCAAGAGGCTCCATAGAGGCCCCAAAGATGCTTAAGAGAGGTCCGACAAGCTCCACAACGCCCCTGTGGAGGCTTCAAACCTGCTTCCAAAAGGCCCCCCGATAGGCATCCCACGATATCATCCCAGCGAACATCCGAGAAGCCTCTAACCCACAACCCAGACACGGTTGCGGGATGGGCCCAGAACTGCGACCTCTGGTTCGCATGGGGGGCTGGGGGTTGCCTTGAGGGCCCCAAGAGGGTTCAGAAGGGGCCCCAGACCCCTCCAGAGGCTCCCAAGCTGGCCCAACATATTCCCAGGAGGCTCCAGAGATCCTTCCAAATGCCCGAACAGAGGCGCCCTTTGCCCCAAGAGGCCCCCAGGAGGCCCCAAGAGATTTTTAGGAGGCCTCCACGACGTCCCAAAACTGCCACCAAAAAGGCTACACAGACCCTCAGAAGCCCGCCAGAAGCCCTTCGTCCTCCATGCTCCGGAACAGCCCTTCGGAACACGTGGCCCTGGCTGCACCCCCGACCCGCCCACCCAAAGTCGAGGCCCGAGGACGCCCCCATAACGCCCGCAAGACGCTCCGGAAACGCCGCTCCCGCACACGTGGATCAAGTCACAATGATGCTGATCGTCGGTGGTCCGCCGTCGTCGTCGTCGTCGTCGTCGTCGTCGTCGTCGTCGTCGGTCGTCGCTGGTACGCTACAGGCCAAACCCTTCCTTGAACTTCGCAGTATCCGCCCGAAAATCATTCATGGATGAAAGGGAGGAACCTGGAAAACCACATGGAAAAGGCCCCATGGAAATTTACACCGTCTTCGGAGTCGACTAGAACCTGAGCGCGCGAGAAGCGCGCGCGTGGTTATAGTTTGTGTTTATACCTTTTTCTGCTTCTAACATAGCTTGCACTTCACGGCTTGCACCACTCGGCGGCGATCCCAGAGGCGGGCCTGCTCAGAAGGCTCGGAGGTCCCCCGGCCTTTGAGAAGTTGTCTAAGCCTTCCCCGAACACACACACAACATGTTTCAGAAGGCCTGCGGAGGCCTTCTCCTTCTCACTTCTCCCCCATCGCCCGCCGCCGAACAACGTAGCTTTGACCACATAGCTTTAAACCTAGCTTTTACCACACGGCCCCCACTGCACAGCTTATTCCACGGAGCTTGCACCACACAGCTTGCACCACGTAGCTTGCAACACAACGACCGCACCGCACAGATCACACCACCTAGCTGAGCTGACAGCACTTGGGGCTCTCTTGGGAGTGCTCTTGGAGGCCCTTGGGGCGTCTTCGTAGCCTCGTGGGCCGCCTTGGGGCCATCTTGGGCCTCTTGCAGCGACATTTGGTGATTCTGTGCCCTCCTGGACCGTCTGGGCGGCCTCCCGGGTCTTTCTTGGCTTGTTTTGAGACCCTAATGAGCGAGGGGACCGTCCCCGAGGCCCACGCGAAACACTCCAGAAGCGCCTGGTAGCGCCCAAGAGCGCCAGGGAAACATGGGGTCCGGGCCCTTAAGAACCTCACAAACCCTCTACCTCCCAGGGCTGCAATCGCCTGGGGGCACTCCACATCGTGCCAGAGGCACGGTGGCAGATGCATATACGCACATAACCCTGTGCCGATGATAAAACAGGGCCCCCCCCTTTCCACGTTAGAGTTGATTATCCACGGCCAAGAAGAGTTTGGTCAGGGGCGCGGGGCGCGGAGGCCGAACTTCTTTTATCACTGTGAAAAGTTAACCATCGAGATTAACTTCTCTTATGTTGAGATAGCAACATCAAACGACGCGAAGACGTTGTCGAGGATGTCTCAAGCGAAACCAACATTTTTTGGAGGCAGCCTCAAGCGAAACGATCATTTTTTCAAGGATGTCTCAAGCGGAACCAACAATTCTTCCAGGATATCTCAAGCGAAGCGAGAGACTTGTCGATGAGAGACTTCGTCCTCCTCCTCCGCCTCCTCCTCCTCTCTCGCTTTTTTTTTTTTTTTTTTTTTTTTTTTTTTTTTTTTTTTTTTTTTTTTTTTTTTTTTTTTTTTTTCTCTCTCTCTCTCTCTTTCTCTCTCTCTCTCTCTTTGTCTCTGTCTGTCTCTCTCTCTGTCTTTCTCCTTCTCCCCCTGGCCCCTCTCTCTATCTCTCTCTCTCTCTTTATCTCTCTCTCTCTCTTTGTCTCTGTCTGTCTCTCTCTGTCTCTCTCTCTCTCTCTGTCTTCTCTCTTTGTCTCTGTCTGTCTCTTTCTCTTTCTCCTTCTCTGTCTCTGTCTGTCTCTCTCTGTCTTTCTCCTTCTCTCTGTCTTTCTCCTTCTCCTTCTCCCCCTGTCTGGCTCAAG